TAGAGAGAAAACGCTTAACTTTATTCATACCAATTCTGAGCATTTGCTCGCCAATTTAGAGTACGCTCAAGGACGGAGCAATTGCTCACCCACTTCATTGATACGAAATTGAGAAGGATCTCGAAAACTCGGAGCAAAGAGTAATTTCTATTTTTTTCAAATCACCCATTAACATGAAATTTCACATGTAAAGGTATTTTTTTCACTTTCATTAAGAGTTTCTGAATAACATATTGAAATATTTTCACATACCTTCAAGTAACTGGAAGTTTGAAAACTAGCACACGAAAGGAAGACATGAATTGAAATGGAGCCAAAAACTACTACTTTCATGTATCGCATAGTGCATAATTGAAACAAGAAGCACCTGCAATTATTCGAAAAAAAAACAGAACTCACTGTTAAGTCTGTAGTGAAGTAACTCGTATTAAAACGACGACGAATTTGCCCGAAGTCGCAATGCGTTTTACACTTGTGCATAGCAAGTTGCCTACCACTAACCTAGCGGATTCTTTGTTGAGAATTAACACCTGAATACAGCCAAAAGACACATTTATGGAAAATATTATTGCATAAATAGTTTTAAGTTTAAATATTTGTTACGATAAACTAAAATGGAGGCCTAAACTTTACCAGATGTTTTGTATAATCACTGAAATAAAGAGATGAGAACAATAGACGCCTGGACGAACGTTTCCAAGTTACTTTGACACGGGCACACAAACAAAAGTAGTCAGACTCAAAGACTCGACACATGTCTTTCTATGTATGACTACGTGCAGAATCTGTCGTCAGAATTGCGCCATCACGCTCCACTTTGTTTGTTTTTTTCGCGAAAAAGCACCGTGAAATTGTGTTTTTGTTTTGGTTGTTGTCAGATCCAAAGACAACGTTGTTCCACTCCGAATGGCGACGCGCCCAATTTGACTCTGAATCCGCCGCCGTCCAGCCATAGAAGCCAAACGTCAGAGCCAAAGACTTGCACGTGTTTCTCTACGTATGTTGACGAACTTGGTGGATTTGCGAGATTAAAAAACTGGTTGGTGGCGGCGCAATTCTGATTTTGGATTTAGCGCATCGCCTTACATAGAGAAACACGTGTCAAGTCTTTGGCTCTGACAACTCTTTTTGTGAACCTTGTGTTATTTACAGGAGAACGCCGGAACTACGTACTGGCGCTATGGCTCATACCCTTTACTTCCTTCCCTATTCTATACTTAATCCCATTGTTATGAGCTATCTTCCAATGCCCATCTTTTATCATTTACGATTCAGTTGAATCAAAATTAAAGTTCAGTTACTAATAAAGTAACTTTTCCTCTTACTCCTTTCTTTATGAAAAGGAAGTATTCTTTCATTATTACCTCATACCTTAATGTGAACTGTACGAATTTGGTCAATTTATTCGGATTTGATGTAGTTACTCTTTATCTTTTGGCTAGAGGGGAAACACTGATAATTCGGAGATTACTCTGTCAGGCAAAGATGAATTATAGCATCATTGGAAGAAGTAAATAATAATAATAATAATAATAACAATAATAACAATAATAATAATAATAACAATAATAATAATAATAATAATAATAATAATAATAATAATAATAATAAAGATAAAGAGAGAGAATCTTTTTCTAAACTTGTCAGTTGGCTTGTAGTGTACAATCATTACGGAATCTTGGAAACGACCGGTCGTGGAAACATAACTCGAGACTTTTCATCCAGGCGCCAGCCCAGTTATCTGAGTTATTTCACGTAGTATGTCAAAACGCGTGCCGTCGCAGGGACCCAATTGCCTCGTACGCAGGCTGCCGTCAAGCGAAAACGCAACCGCAGCCGGTTCGCCTAAACGCGCAGCCTCATTTCCGGGCCGTGGCGTGCGTGGGGCGTGCGTGGGGCGAGCGCTGCAGAGGAGGGCGACTGCGCACACCTGCGCCAGCGGCACCGCACGAAGCGGCTATTTCCAGCGCGGCGCAGTGGGTCGAAATGCGTGCTACTGGGAGGCAATTGTCTGGGCCGGTAAACCTGTAGGAATGTGTAAAGAAATCCAACTAAACGGGTGTAACTGTAACGAGAGATGATTGTGATAGCAAAGGTGTTCTAAACAAAACAAAGGGTTAGGCGGGTATATCCAGTGACATGGAATTCAAGCATAAAAAGAATAATAAAAATTACATTCTATAAAACAATACTTGAAAGTCTATTCACATATAGAGCTGTGTTAGGAACTATTTATGCCAGGTATGGATGTAGGACGCAAGGAAAATAAATGAAATATTGGTAGCGGTATATTAAGATTACAAGTAAAGGTAAAATTAAAAATCACAGAACAATAGAAATAATGGAACCTGCAAAATCAATCTTAGAACTGATAGAAACAAAGGCTCTACTGTGGTATGAGCATTTAAGAAGCCACCAGATAGATAACATTATATTCCACGTAATTCGAACGATACAAATCACTGAATTAAAATTTAAAATTTGCTAACATTATGGAAATTTGAAAAATTGATTTTTGCTAAAAAATTGTGAATTTTTTATGAGTCTGAATATCAATCAGCATTTTTAGGAAAATAAGACCATTCTCATATCTATATTCCAAGCGCAAAAGCAGCTGTGGTTTGGTTGAAATGCGATATAATGCAGGAAGGGTTTGACAGGATTACACGCGCACTCTTGTCTCTTCCTCCTTCAGCGACCACGAAACGATCACAATCCACATTTCAATTTTGTCACTAAAATTTGTCTAATATTCAGAAGCGTTTACCTATCTCAAAATAACATGTTTCAACGTTTCACAAAAACAATTACAGCGATGAATTGAACAAATGCCAGAAAGAAGGAAAAAGGATTTCTAATTTCGAATTTATTAATTGTAAATTAGGATTGTTACTGAAAAAGATTGAAAATTATTACATTATAAATAATTTAATATGTTTTGCGCCATTTGTAGTTTCCAAACATTTGTTAATTTTGATGTTGGCTCAAAGATCTGCGACTCACAACATTTTGTGAGGTCATTCTAATAGAATTACACCCAAGAGTGCACATCCATATTTCAGACCCCTTTGTTTCTGCCTGTCTGCCTGCCTGCCTGTCTGTCTGTCTGCCTGCCTGCATGTCTGCCTGCCGGTCTGTCTGTGTCTGCCTGACTGTCTGTCTGCCTGTCTCCATGTCTGTCTGCCTGTCTCCATGTCTGTCTGCCTGTCTCCATGTCTGTCTGCCTATCTGTCTGTCTGTCTGCCTGCCCTCTGCCTGCCGGTCTGCCTGTCTGTCTCCTTGTCTGTCTGCCTGTCTCCCTGCCTGTCTGCCTTTCTGTCTGTCTGTCTGCCTGGTTTATATTATATTGCTATCACTATGGGATGATGAATGAAAGAGTGTTATATTACACGAGCGCAAACATCGATTGTATTCTTTGGTTCGTCAGTAACATTTTCTTAATAAGTTTTTTCAGTTTCGACCAGGTGACTTCAACAAAATTTTCACAGAAGAGTACAGAGTATTTAATACGCAAATACAATCTTTTGAATTTCAATCGGACAATCTCTAATACTACTAGTTGTTTTCGATGTGTTTTTCAAAGCTGATTAATGACTTCGTTCTTTCAGTTTGTTTGCTGTAAAAGAGGATTGTCTTTCATAGAATTTCATTCGATATAATCTGTATTATATATATATATTATTTTACTAACAAAATCGTATTATTTTACTTCTATAGTATTTTATAACTACACTTAAATGAGCTTCACGAATTAGATAATAAACGGATTATATAATGAATGATACACAATTACTTTGGAACTCTCTTTCCTTCTCTTTGCACGCATCCGCTTTAAAATTGTGTGCAGTGAAACGTAGATATATATTCCTCGTGTCAACGTAATCCAATTTTCGTCTCTCTTCGGCCAGTGATCATACATTCTAATTTTAAATATCCACACATCCACACGTTATTCTCATACGTTTGCTTGTTACGAAACATTTTTGAAATTTTCGATACCGTACGGGATATAATGTGTTTTTCAGCGGTGAAATGTTTACATTGTATCTGTTCAACTGATTTCATTCACGATAGCGCACGTTCCTTGCAATCCAATATTTGCGAAAGGCTGGTACTGAAATAACTACTGATTCACGCGTGAAAACAAGCCTATTCGGCCAAATAACGGGTTGGTTTGGAAGGCTGTAAAGGGCGCTTGTTTTATTATGTGTAGGAGTAGGTAAGAGTTCGTTTCACTTGGTATATTTGTGAATTATGGGATATTAATTCCACAGAAGTTATTTATGGATATTAGTGAGACTAACACTAAATTACGATTTAATATTCTCCAACGCGCTTTCCACACACAGAAATAGTAGATATTGTATTGAGGAAGGAGAAGGAAAACAGAAAGAAGGGAAACTTTGTCATCCCTATGAAATTCGTTCAGAGTTATTTCTCACTTTACGTTTTACGTTTTATTTCATTCTAAGGTTTTGCAATATGTCAAATAAGAATTAATATTTGAATTAAATAAACCACTTCAATTTCTACGCCATTGTATTTATACAATTTAGAATAGTCTTACATTATGAGTATAACAAAGGAATCTCGGAGTCGTGAGAAGTATTGATCCAAACTGCCTCGAATCAAAGAAACGCATTCTGATGAAGAACAAAATTCGCCAGGCTCCCATTGAATGTTAAAAAGAACAATTGCAAAATATAAAAAGTATTGTTATTCAATTTGAATTCATTACTGTTCCAAAGTACAGAACTAACGTGTTAAATTATTTCGGACCAATGTATCACCATTGGTCTCAGACGTGGGCAAATAACTATCGAAATTGTTCGATATTTTACTCTGCTATTCAATAATTTTAATTTTAGTACAATACAATAAAATACATTATTGTAAATCCTGCAATAAATTAGAACAAAATTAATATTAAGAGCAATTTATAAGAAGTATTCTACTAAAAATGAAAGGTCCATTGCTGCTTATTGCTCTGTATGTTTCAGGCCCTCCAGTGGTGGTGACAGTGAACATGCTCATCAAGAGCATGGGTCCGGTCTCTGAGACAGACGAGGTAAGATCGGCACGTTAAGAAAATATTAATTTACATTTACTTGAGAAAGGCTTAAAAATAGAAATATATTCCCTTTTATAGTAACCGCTCTCCAACAGCTCTAAAATGCATTGACTTGTCTGCCCAAGGCATAAAAAATCGGAGTTCAATCGTCTGGATTTGGAAATGAGTGTTTCATGTCGGTGAAGTTGTTCCATACGGCGATGTTGGGCAGCACGTTCTAGTGAACGGCAAGGATGTCAACTTCTGGGTTATTAAAAACGAATGAGAAATGAGTGATGGTTGAAATACATCCGAGCCTTTCACTACCCGTCCCTCAACCAAAGGTCAAAGAGGCGTCTCAGCGACTCGTGGTGTGTAGTGACAGATCGCAATGAGGCAGAGGCACGACGCGCCCGGCGGCGGACGGCGATTCGACGCGCTCTGCCACGCCCTGCTCCGGAGCGGTCGAACGGATTCGCCAGGCAGAAACCAGACACCAGGGTGTATCTGAGTGTCCGCCTAAAAAGTCAACTGATCGATGGTCAACAATGAGTGTGGTTGTGGTTTCATGGTGCCCTTGCGGGAGACGGCAGTGGTCTTCCCCAGTGGTTGGCGAGATCCAGCGTCAATCTGCGTCGGCTTTCCGGAACTTTCCCCAACCAGGTATCTCCCATCAGCGGGGCACCGCCCCAGCAGGGTCAAGCTCTCAGCTCCCGACCGGTCTCATTACTGATGGCTTGTCTCCCGACAAGAGTGATAGTTTAGTGCATATGAGTGTAAGTGTGTGTAAGTAAGGGGAGGAGGAAGGAAATATCGTGGGCAGCCTGTGACCCGTTTGTCAAGGTACTCCTCCGCATTCGCCACGTGTTGATTGCAGAAACCACGGAAACTACCGATCACAGCAAACGACCGCTAGAATTTCAGAAAATGTCTGGAGGAATTTCAAAAAAACAGGTTATAGGAAGGTCAAGACAACTTCGGTGGTGAAACGTGATTTAGAACACTGACTTTCCTGCATAACAGGAAGCTATACAGTTGATCTTAGATAATAATCATCAAATTTATAATGAAATCTAATTTTAATGAAACATAGACATGTTTCGGGGGGCTAGATATCCGCCACCTCTGACGATAGAAAGCATGCGGGACCAATGCACTTTGCGTTGAGGCGCCAAGAATTCATTCAACTCATGATTACATCATAATGCATGATTGTCAATGGCCTTAGTAGTCAAAGGTTCTCTAAACATAAATAAAGACATCCACCGTTCACGTTGGTTCCCCGCCCCCCCCCCTTCCACATCGCTCAAGTTCCCGCTCCACCCACCTGGAGCGCTCGGGCATCACAAAGGCGGCGTATTTCATTTTTATATCCCGTCGGCGCCCGCCGCCCGGCTGCCAGCAACAGCCCACTCAACGCTCAGTCGCGGATCGGCGCTGCTGTTTACATTCCCCGGACAAAAGGCCGCTCGGAGCTTTGACGGCGCCGCTCCGGCCCCCGCGTGTAACTCGGCCTGCGGCCTTTGAGCGGCGCGCGTTTGCCGCTCTATGTCGCCTGCCATCTCCCACAGCCCTCCCACACCCACTCCCACACCCCCACCCACACCACTCCCACACCCGCTCCCACCGCCCCCTCCACACCCCTCCCCCTCCCACACCTCCTCCCACATCCTCTCCCACACCACTCCTACACCCCCTCCCACACTTCTCCCACATTTGCTCCCACACCTCTCCCACATCCCTCACACACACCCCTACCACGCCCCCTCCACATCCCTCCGACACCCCCTCCCACCACCTCTCCCAAATCCCCTCCCACACCCACTCCCACACCTCCTCCCACATCCCTCACACATCCACTCCCACACATCCACCACCAGCTTCCCACACCTCCTCCCAACCCCTCCTACACCCACTCCCACTCCCACACTCATTCCCACACCCCTCCCACCCCGCTCCCACACGCGCTCCCACCCTTCCCGTCGCGGAACCCCTCCTCCTCGTAGGCACCTGACGCTTGCCTCGCCTCCGTCGAAGAGCCAGCTCCTCTGAGACTCCCTGCTGCCTCCGCATCTGGCCCGGTCGTAAGGTTGAGATTTTGACATCTCAACTTACAAAAGATATTCATTCCGCCACCGCCGGTTGACTGAATTATGAGAGTACAAGACAGTATTCTAATAATTATCAATGGCTATTCATGGAAAAATCATTGAACAAATTCAGAGGCCGTTGAGACGGAAAAAGAAGCTCTGTCGACTGAACATGTAGACATCCGCGACGGGAGCTGCCTCATCCTGAGGAGAGAGCCAAGAGATTGATTCACGTTTCAGATTAAAATGTTGAGATCCGAAATTTTATGATCACAATGTGCAAAGTTGCGCGGTAAGCATATTATTGTATTTTTTGGTTATCGATGTACAGTAGTATACATACGGAGCATAAAGTGTATTTTGTTTTGTTAATAGTATTGTACAATATTACTTCAATGATATTTTTTGGAGTCAGCGCAAACTAACAATATGTTTTCTTGCGAACAACTGAAAAACCTAATTCTACCATTGTATTTTCATTCATCACTCCACTCTTCCCATATTTTACGTAGAATGAGCGAACTCCGGCAACGAAGCTACATGTTCAGGAGTAATTGGGCTTATTTTCCTTTTTTAACGGAATGTAAAATTGTGAAAATTAATATTGTATCAATTAAGTTTTGAAAACATTAATACTGGTAGTGCATAGTCCACTATCATAAACACGGATTCTTAATCAATCGGCACTATTTACCTTTATTTATTTACTTTTATTTATTTACTTATTTATTGACTCACCTATTTGGGTTCAGAGACATTTCAACTGCTATGCACATGACGGCTCTTGAGTGATGATGAAAGTGTTAAATTATTTCGCTCTCATCTGATGGAAAAGTAGCGCGATCAGAGGCAGAGGAAGCTGAGAAGAAGCGCAAGAAGTCACTCCGAGAGTTAGCCTTGCCTCCCGTAAATTGCACATGGATTGACCGAGGTTCATATCTGGGTCCAAGCGATGGCAGACGTATTTTATTACTGGAGGAGAATTCTAGCGGCCGGCTGCTCTGCTCGTTAGTTTTCTGGTTTCTGCCATCAACACCAGGTGAATGCGAGAGCACTACAAACGGGCCACACACCCGCGCAATTGTTCTTCCCTCTTCTTTGTCGTATTCTGGTCCCCAAATGATGCACACACGTACATGTGCTACCAGAGAGAAAATATAATGCCCTCCTCTATTAAGCTATCGAATCTTCCACCCACGTGGAGAGGCCGGATGGGAGGGTAGAACCTTCCTGGTTGGGACTGTTGGGTGGAGATATATTGAGGAGGAATTTCGTGGAACCAGACGTGCAGGTCGTCGCAGCGATCACTGGCTTCTCCATCGATCAAAACATTCACTACACTAACGGAACTAACGAACTAGCTGTTAGCGTGCCCGGAAACATCAACCCTAAAGTACTTTCCTTGTTGGTTCGAAATATAAAATTTGCGAATGCATACGTCAAGTGTAAATCGTTGTGGTAACATATTTTAAAATAATAATTTTAACGTTCTCCAATGAGATATCCAAATTTAGAAAGTATCTATATAAGAAACTGAAAGGTAACCTTCAAAACTGCCATAGCGTTTTTGACCCAGTTTTCCACCTTTATTAGCGCCAATAATAGCTATAGAGTACCATTAGCACCAGCCTATCGAATGAATTAATTTTCAATAAGTTTGAACTAGATTTATATGCTTGAATTTTCTAAGATGTACGAGGGTTTAACGGTCTATCTTTCTACCTGCTATTACAATGCTTCCGTTCTTTCATGCTACTCAATGTGAAGGATATTTCTTAACTTTTTCTGCCAAGTTTACAATGCTTATTTAATATTTTCAAATTTTAATAATTTTTATATAGCATACTGTAATAATTCTTTTCGAATTCTAAATTATTCCTTTAGGATGAAAAAAAAACATTAAGAAATTATAAACAGTGAAGAGTGCTTAAAAATAATATTTAACCTTCATTTGACCTTCAAAAGTACACGAAGCACATCCACACAAAAATAACGTTCCTCAGTTCAATTTTAATTCATTAATTTTAAAATGTTTAGTAAGTGGTGATTTTTTCTTCAAACGGTATATTATGTAGTATTATACTTGTAGTATGTAGTATTAAGTTTCACTCCATGGATGATGCAATATTTACGGCCAAAAATCGTGCAAGAAACCGGCATATTTTTGAACTTCAAATTTTTTAGCTCAATTTGCCAGACATTTTCCGAATATTTTCCATCATAAAAAATAATAATGATAAAGATTAATCTGCAGCCAATTTGGAGATCCTGTTAATCCAGGACTCTGAGCATATGTCATTAATTTAATTCATTTTTAAGGTATTACTAGAATCCAGTTATCAGAGAAAATAATGACACATCTTTATCTAAATGTAATTGTTTTATGAAATTAAAGTGTTACAGCCTTAAACATCTTTTCCCAAGACAATCGTTTCGGAAGAACACTTAGGCAAGGCCCCCCGCGATTGCCCGAAGCAACAACGCTACCTGCCGCCGCTGGTCCGCTGATATTAAAAGCGCCGGATGGCCGCCAACAGCCGTTTGTCCG